GACAAAAGTACTTTTAAAGTACTTTGGTGTTGTGGTTTGTGTTTGTGATTGTCGCCGTTGCGGCGATCGAGGAGGCCCTGGGGCCCAAGAAAATAAGATAGATTGCCGCCTGAGACCAAGCCGTACCTTTGCTCAGGGGCTCTTCCAATAAACAAAACTCTGCCCAATTTTTTGGCACACCTTTTCTCGAAAGCGGTCCCCGGAGTCGTTGAAACGAGAGTTTCCGAGCCAAAAACGAATTTGGAAAAAGTTTGGTTGGCAAAGGCCTGCAGAGTAAAAGGAAAAAGCGCAGGTGCTCAAGGTTCAGCATCTGAACTAGGATGCGAAGCCACAAGCTGTGACAAAAGTACTTTTGAAGTACTTTTTGGTGTTGTGGTTTGTGTTTGTAGCCGCACTTTGGCTCAGAGGCCTTTTCAATAGACAAGACTCTGCCCCTAGCCTTAGTTCGTTTTCCTCCGGTGGCGCCGGGAGATATTAGTAACAAGAAGATGACGCACCAAAGACGAAAATAGATTGGAAGAAGTTCTTTGTGACATGCCCCTATTTCAATAACAAAAAGGAAAAGTCTTCAAAGCCGTGGAAAGAATATGTTCAAAGCACTTTTCTCGATTGGGCTTTTGGTTGTGATTGTGTAGGTGCCGGGGCTATCCCGAAGCCAAACTGTGTCTTGGTTCAGGGGATCAAGCAAAACGTTTCCGCCAATTTTTCGGGAAGTGTTGATGTTGAAACCAGAAAACGACGCGCCAAGCCAAGGCGCAAATATAGAACCTTTTGGGGAACATGTTTGTGCTTCAGAAGCAAGAAAACTAAACACACAGAAAAGAGCGTCGAAAGTAGCTGTGGACATGGTCATTTCGTGTCTCTTTGCAGCCTCGGCTTGAACCAGCTTGACTCGACGACATGCATGCCCATGGCACGCGTCACACACCCACACCCACATTCCACATGTCCACAGAGGCACACAACTAGGTAAGTCATTCGTCAGATGGCAGGAGCTCGCAAAAATGTTCGGGACAGAGGCTGGGCACTTAGAGCTTTCAGGCCATTGTGTCACGACACCCTTAAAATCACGAAAGGTAGCCCTTTAGGGGGTACCTTGAGTTTGACTTGCGAAGCAAGTGTCGGCGAGTCCGGGTCGAATAATTGATTGCTCAATTCAACCCCCCCCCCCCCCCCCCCTCCCATTTATTTCTCAAAACCCCCCCCCCCCCCCGCCCCCGGGGAATTGATTGTTCAATACCGACCCCCCCCCTCCTAAATTCAATTCTCTCCTGGAGAACGTCTTCGTGAGCCTCTCATGATTTCAGGATAGTTGAAACCCCCTTGAACATTCAGAAAGAGCGCATATGAAATTCTAATCACGAAAGGTGTTCGCCGAGGGGATACATACTGGGTGCTCGGGCTAACTTGTCTCGAATGGCATGAACTTGTGCCGGATGAGGTGTGCCCTTGGGGGAAAGCTTGATTGGGCTAAGTTTTTGTATGTATGTTATTGTTGATCAAAGGTTGAGAATTCGACCAAACCGCAAGGGCACACTGTTGATTCTGTCTCAAGGTTATTGTACTCCCAAGTGCACCGTTCCGATTTCATGTTTTTGGCTTCACTACATTGTGATTAGGTTTTTTTCAACAATCGTTGCAAAACGGTGTCCCCAAGCAGTTTTGTGTTTAGGAGTGTAGACGATCGATCATTGTTTGGTCATTTCATACTGTGTATTTGTTCTTTTTTGTGACTGGTGACTAGTGCTTGGAATACAACCAGCCTCAAGTTGCGCTTCCCAACCAATCTTGGGACAGAAAGGGGGGCAGGCCTCATTTGCCTCGTGCATTTGTTTCTACATACTGGGTGCCTGCGTTTGCCCCTATCGTGGTCAAGATCTCGTATGGAAGCCGGTGTGCCATTGGGGGGAGCCATCAAAGCAGTGCAAACAAGAAGAGATGAGCAACATACTCCTCCATCTTATTGATGCCAGATCTGCGTGGCACACTGGCTTTTTCGCGTTCACACTGCAATGTCTGTGAATCCAGTATACCATTGGGGTAAGCTATCGAATAGCTATGAATTTGAACTTGTTTCTAGAGGTTTCTTGTGTCAACCCATAGTTGAAGCCTTTTCGACAAGGCCCCATCTCCATCAAAGCGGATGAGCGAGGAGCAGTCTGAGTAGTGTTTTTGAGAAGTCGTTGCGAAGCGTGTCCCCATACAGTTTCGTGTCTAGGGGCGGAGGCTTTTGTTGTTTGGTAATCTATGGTAATCAATATATGTCGGGCTTGCTGCTGTTGGTTTGCTACTGGTTGGCTGCTGCTGCCGGTCAGCTGCTGGTTTTCTGCTGCTGCTGCTGCCTTGCTGCTGCTGGTTGGCTACTGCTGCTGCTGGCGGTTGGCTGCTGTTGGTTGCTGCTGGCTGATTGCTGCCGGTGCTGCTGCTTGCTGCTTGGTTGTTGCTGGTGCTGCTGCTTGCTGCTTGCTGCTGCTTGTCGCTGCCGCTGCTCCTACTCATTTGCTGCCTGTCATTGTCTTGCACGCCCTATGATTATAGCAGGTTTCTTCCATTGCAGACTGGGTATTGGAAACATGATTTCACGTTGCCGTGACTTAGTCGTGGCGTGGTGTCCCAGTATATGACTGGTTGCCACAGCTGCGTTGCGTCGCAAGGACTTTTGTGTTTGGGTGTTAGTGGGCATGGGTCTTCTGTGCAAACGTGTTCATCTCGCCCAATACCTCGCCCACATCTCGCCCTCTATCTCGCCCAACCCACCAGGCACCAGGACCTCCAGAGGTGTGCCATGGGGATTGCCATTGTCACAACACACATGTGTAAGCAAAGGCCTCTTCAATTTACATGGGCCTCCCAGGCAAGGAGCGATTTGCAGGGTTCATGTTTTCAAGCGTTCATGTTCACATTTTTCGCAGGTGTGCCATGCGGAAGGAACGCGCGCGCACACACAGACACCAAAGAAGGCAAAGCGCAAGCTAACCATGGGTTTTGTCGTGGTCTTAGCCTACTTTCCTGGCAGAGATCGAAAGCGGGTGTGCACACCGTTTTCACCAATCCCACATCACAGATGATTTGGTTTCTAGCCTCTGTTGGTTTGCTGCTGGTTGGGTGCTGCTGCTGCTGCTTCTGCTGCTGCTGCGCTGTGCCTTTTTGCTGCGGGTTTGCTGGCGCTGGTTGGCTACTACTGCTGGTTAACTACTGCTGGTTAGCTGCTGCTGGCTTGGTGCTGCCTGCTGTTTGGCTGCTGCTGGTTTGCTGCTGCTGTTTGGCCGCTGCTGGTGGGATGCTGCTGGTCACCTTCTGCTGCTGTTGGGTTGTTGGTGTTGTTTTGCTGCTGGTTGGCTGCTTGCTGC